TAACAATAACCAGTCGTAATACCAACATATATCGCAACGCAAAAATATTTTTTCTAACAACGAAGATGTCGAGTTTTGTGCCAAATAAACAGCATTTGCGGGGAGCTTTGCTTTTCTGCTTTAACTTGAAAAAAAGTGCAGCTGAAGCACGTCGTTTGCTTGAGGAGACCTACGGCGAACATGCACCATCGAAAACTACCTGTGAAGATTGGTTTAAATGCTTCAGAAGTGGCGATTTCGACACTGAAGACAAGGAGCGCTCCGGAAGACCAAAAACAAGCTGGAGGACGCCGATCTACAAGTGTTATTGGATGAAGATGATACGCAAACACAAGATCAACTTGCGGAGGCATTAAACATGACTCGCCAAGGTATTTCCAAACGTTTACATGCCATGGGAAAAATTCAAAAGGAAGGGGAATGGGTGCCGCATGAGTTGACTGAGAGACAGATAGAAAATCGAAGAGCCACTTCCGAAATTTTGCTTTTGCGGCATGAAAGAAAGAGTTTCCTGCATCGAATTGTTACTGGCGATGAAAAGTGGATATATTTCGAGAATCCCAAACGCAAAAAATCGTGGCTTTCACCTGGCGAAGCATCAACATCGACGGCACAGCCAAATCGCTTCGGCAAGAAGACAATGCTCTGCGTTTGGTGGGACCAGAAAGGAATCGTCTACTATGAGCTGCTGAAAAGAAGCCGGGCGAAAACTGTCAATGGGCATCGCTACCGATCGCAACAACTGATCAATTTGAACCATGCATTGCTCGAAAAACGGCCAGAATGGGATACAAGACACGAACGAGAGATATTGCAGCACGACAATGCTCCGTGCCATCGCACGTCCAGGACACCATCGAAACGCTGAAATGGGATCTGCAACCGCACCCGCCGTATTCGCCAGACCTGGCCCCTTCCGATTATCACTTGTTCCGGTCGATGGCGCATGGCTTGGCTGGGCAACACTTGGCCAATTTCGAAGAAGTGCAAAATTGGTTGGATGAATGGTTTCGGTCCAAAGACGCGTCGCGGTTTTATCGTCGCGGTATTCATGTATTGCCAGAGAGATGGCAAAAATGTGTAGCTAGCGAGGGATGATACTTTGAATAAACCATTTTTTGTATTTCTCTTGAAATTTTCCATTTTTCATTGATCAAAAAAACCCGGAAACTTAGTTGCGCACCTAGTAAATTTCGTAGCGGTATTCAGTAGTACTTTTCTTATACAGCTGAAAATAAATTTTGGATTGTCATGCATCAATTTGTCTTCAATGTTTTTCTAAAAAAGCGGAAGAACTAGATATCATGAACAATTGAAACGTCCTGTAAGATAGGAAATGATCCATACTTCCAATAAAATTTCTCCGATTTTCTTAAAAAAAACTTTTTGGTTATATACATTATAACATAATTCTTTTCAATAGTATTAATATTTATACGCGATTTTTGCAGAATTCTAACTTATAGAATGGAAATCTAATTTATTTTGCAATATTTAGTAAAATATTAAAATAAACATTTAGATACTTTTAGAAGGTAGATTGATAGTGTATAAGTACAAATTATGAAATTAAAATTTTTCTTATTTTGGCCATGTTTTTGTTCATTCGGCCGACTGTGCGGCGGTCCGCACGCCGAGTTCAACGCGGAACAATGAATAATAGATCCACGCACACTCGTTCATCATTACACCCGTGATAAAGAATGCCTACTTTTCTGAAGGAAGTTTCAGTCTCGATCTCGACCTGGATGCATTCTGCAGCTTACGCCTAGGTCTAGCTAGTTTAACTATTTGTGAAACATGACTAAAACATTTTCGATCTTGCCGCTTTTCGAACTGTCGAACGTTCTACAGCTAAATCGTTAGTTTCGTGAGAGACGCAGTTGCGAACGCACATCTGCTTGTCAAATGCATAGATTGATGAAGAAAATTGCATCGCAAGAAAGTCAATCGAGGCACAGATGTCAACGTCGAAAATCTTTCAACTACAGAACGAGATTTCACATTGATTCTCCTCTGTGGGAAAGGAAAGGACAGGATTCACATGTATCAGGTCTCAAGATCAGGATAAGTCTCTTCCTGATCCTGAGACATAACAGGTCCTGTGTTCACATGCTGTGAATGTTTTCTTTCCGCTTGGATAATTCTGTTTTGTAGTTGAAGTTTTGACACTTGGCTTGACATGTGCTTCGACTAGCTTTTTTGTAATACTAATTAATTGTGAGTCTGTAATCTGTGAGCCTTGATAGCTTATCTCTTATTTTTTATATTTTTAGAACTCTTTTAATGAAGACGAACTATTTCAAGCTTTCATCACCTAATAGGGGGAAACACGCGATTCGCGAGCATGGCGGATCTCGTGCTCGCAAGTATTTTGATTGCAGTCCAAATTCATTTTCGCAGGCTATATCGTAGTAAACACGTTCCGTTCATCGCAATGCGCATTCGTGAGCCAAGACGTGTATCGAGATTGTTGTAATCGGCACAAGTCTATACGAAT